AGTTGTTTTATTTTTTATTTTTTTAATAGCATTGCTCATCATATCGGTCATCGTCTCTAGAGAACATTATTGCTTGATCCTGTACTATATGTAAAACTAATATGTTGATTGAAACTAAGCTATCTCTGCACAGTGACATTTAAGATTGGTCTGCACTAAGATTACTAAATTAAAGGGGATACTCTTATTCACTACAAAGGTAAAAATGTCCCAGTAACAATATTGTTAGAATGTCCCCAACACAATGAACGTTTTGATGGTAGGAATTATAATGTATACTTTAAAAAGCTAAATATTAGTAAGATTTCTGTAATTAATTCAAACTCTGCCCTCGTTTTTCATTCTCATTTTCTCTTCTTACTAACTTTCATTGACATATTATAACTTAATTAACTTCTTCATATTTCACTTGGAATCTGTGTGATAGTTTTCGCCTACATTGTCGCATTTGTGTAATTAAAAATAATATGTTAGGGACACCATATTTATATATGCACTCAAGCCTGAAGATAACACTAACCTACCTAAACAATCAAGTCTTGCGACCTCACCGTCTCAATGTCGTGTCGTCGCACCGCTTGATAATGAGTTTCGATCTTATATATTTCTAGTACTCACAACCGGATGTAAACAAATCCTCTTTATATAAATTTTGCTAAATAGCCAAAATGGTCTCTGAGATTTGCATAACTCATCACTTTGGTCCCTAACATTTCAAATCGATAAAAGTAGTTCCTGAGATTGTCCACCATCCATCATTTTGGTCATTCCGTTAAGTGTTTCGGAGCTCTTAGCCGTAAGTTTGGGCAATTTTCAAAGCTTCATAACTCAATCGTTTCTTAACCAAATTCGACCCATAATATATCAAAATGAAGATAGGAAAGTGTAGAATAAGATTATACCTATTTGGAAGCCCAATGGCTGACAGAGATGGCTGGAAAATAGCCTTAGGAGGGTGTATTCAATTGGGATTTTAAGGGATTTTAATTCTTTTAATGAATCTAGGGGTATTCAATCAGGATTTTAAGTGATTCTCTGAAATTCTAGGTGTATTCAATTAGAATTTTAAAATAGTTTATTAAAATCCTTAGAAATCCAGGTGTATTCAATTAAGATTTTAAAGAAGTTTATAACATTCCAGGTGTATTCAATTAGAAATTGATTTTAAAGAATTTGAGAAAGTTGAGGAATTAGAGGGAATTGAAGAGATTTCGTAGTGTATTTTAAGTATCCACAAATCTCACCTCTTTCCATGAGATTTCGAGGGAATTGAATCAAAATTTTATATGGAATCTCTACAAATCAATTAAACTCCATAAAAATCCATGGATTTATAAATCCATTAAAATCTCTCACATTCTCAATTGAATACACCCCCCTTAGAGTTGACTGGTCAAAGGGAAAACTGGAATACTCGCCAGAAACTGGGTAAACTTTAAACGTTCATAACTTCTTTAATACTCAATGAAATCAAGTGATTCAAAACGAAAATCATACTTCTTGACGAGACGAAGAGAATGGTACCTTTTTCGATAGCTAACTCACCGTGGTTTGGTCGGAAAACAGCTCGAAAGTGGCTAACTCGAGACCAAGACAGCCACTTTCGAGCTGTTTTCCGGCCAAAACACGTCGAATTAGCTGTCAAAAAGGTACCATTCTCTTCGTCTCGTCGAGAAGTATGATTTTTGTTTTTGAATCACTTGATTTCGTTGAGTATTAAAAAAGTTATGAACGTTTAAAATTTACCCAGTTTCCGGCGAGTTTTCCAGTTTTCCTTCGGACCAGTCAACTTTGAGGCTATTTTCCTGCTATATCCGGCAGCCATTGGGCTTCCAAATAGGTATAATCTTATTCTACACTTTCCTATCTTCATTTTGATATATTATGGGTCAAATTTGGTTAAGAAACAATTGAGTTACGAAGCTTTGAAAATTGTCCAAACTTCTGGCCAAGAGCTCTAGGACACTTAACGGAATTTGTAACGGAAGGACCAAAATGATGGATGGTGGACAATCTCAGGGACCACTTTTATCGATTTGAAATTTTAGGGACCAAAGTGATGAGTTATGCAAATCTCAGGAACCATTTTGGCTATTTAGCCTATAAATTTCGATTCACAGAAACATACTTCAAGTGCATCGACTAATAATTCAAAATTGTTATATAAAAGTTTAGCCATGGTCTTAAATAAGAAGCAATTTTATTTCTACATAGCCATGGTTGGTACCAATATAAGAAGATTATATAAAATTTCAGTAGTTTTACTGAGCTTCGAGTCTGGCTAAAAGCAATTCTCTTCCTTTTATAATATAGCCTCTATTAGAATTGATATAGCCCAAAAAATGCCATACTCATATAATTGAGATCAGTTGTCTGCGATATAGGGCAGCAACGTGTGAAGGTGGGCGTTGGCGATGGTTTTTTCTGCAGCTTTTTTAATTAGGTTAAAACTGTTTTTTTTTCTTTCTAGAAGGATTTAATAAGTCCAGATTAGTATACATGCTGGCAAGTTTAGTGTTTAGCATTTCCCTTAAAAAATAGAATGATTCAGTATCTAGAAAAAAAAATGAACTTTTCCCTTCAAATAGTGGTAGAATACTTAATTACTTATCAATCTTTTCTTCTAGTTGGGTAAAAAAGGCGAGACGAGCAAAACTCAAAAGACATGCTGGTTGGGAAAAACTGAAAATTGGAACGAGTAATATATTGCAGGTAGATTCAGAAGGTTTTTTTTTTTGGTCGAAGTAGATTCAGAAGGTTGAGCGTGATGACTCAAGAGGTGAAAGAAAACTTGTGTCTGGAATCCAGGGACCATTTATTGGGGCAAACGCCCTTCATTGTCAGTTTGTAAACATATAGCTCTGTACATACTGTGCCCGATCTTGAGATGCCCGCCAGTACTGCTTGTTTTTGAGCTCTTTGCACACAGAGATGAAAACCCTAAAAGTCTTTCTGTCCTGTCTCTTTCTTCCCCTGCAGAAGAAGCAGTGAAGGGCCTCCCTCTGTTTAATTTTCTCCTCTCTCAAACACATACACAGGCTGCAGTGTTATTCGATCTGTGAATATGCAAAATAACTATGTATGCAGTGCAGCTCTAGTTGAATCCCAACAGAAAACTCTTCCGCTGAGACTTCCAAAGTAATTAGGGTTTTTTAAGCTTAGGGGGAAAAACTAGGGTTGTGAAGTTTCTTGTTAGTGTTCTCACTTAACTTCTGGGATAATTAACTAGGGTTTTTTAAGTTCTGGGAAAATAAAATTAGCCAACGCCATAATGGTGCAACTCGGGTTTTGGAGTTCTAAGATCACGATTACGTCTTCAAATAGGAAATATACCTAATCGTTCTGAGTTAAAGCACTAATATTTGACATTTAAGGACTAAAAAGAAACAATTGAGAAAGAACCTTGCATACGTGTCTATAGATCATAGAGAAGATCATTACTTTCAATGATTTAATAACTTGGTTTTGTTGAAAAGAGCAATGCAAATTTCGTTATGGCTGGGTAGGGTGTCAGCTGCTATGTCATCAAGTCTTCAATTACTTCGTGCATATCTCTCTGCAAGAAAAAGTTGTGTGGTCCTATTCGTACTCACTACTCAGTGGATCTTTTAAAAGAAAACGCATGTATTGGTCCCTCACATCTTAGGCAGCTTCTCATTGTCCGAAGTACCTATCATACACATGCTAATGCTTAGAGTTATAAACCACAAATTTTTGTACCCCATGGTAAAGCCAAGTGGATATATATATATATATATAGATATATATATATATATATATATATATATTTCTAATAAAAAATTGATCTTCATATATATGAAATCTGCTTGTATGTAGAACAGTTGGCTAATGATTGAGGAGCAGCTTGATAATCGTAGTTCATTAACGGCAAAAATTATTTTTAGATTTGGGTTCGAACTTTAATTTGACACATAATACGTTCCTTCAATACAAAAAATGATGAGGTCTTAACTCACATATGTTCCGTAACATATGAGTATTTTGCCCTCAAATTCTATTGTTAGGTAAAAAGGATTTTAATTTCATTGATATTTTCTTGAATTTTGTCGTCTTTGTTTTTCACATGATGTTCTAAGGTGTTGCTTGATTTTCCTTTACATATTATACACTGAGTCACTTGTCCATCTATTTTCTTCTCCTTGTCCTCCCTTATAGTTCAAATGTGTACGCTTTTTTTTTTCAAGAAACCTCGATATTTATTGAGTTGGAAAAAAATTCCACCTAGACAAACGATCGAGAACATAAACTTTATTCCTCATGGTTCAATTGGAGACCATATAGAAAAATAAGAAAAAAGAAAAATACATGAAAAGAGGGGCATAAAAACAAAGCGGGGATAATTTAAATGTGTGATGCAATTAGAGAGAAAAGGGGTAAATAGTTATATATATAGTTAGGCTGCATATGAATATGTCAATTCCAATGATTGATTAATTGGAATCATTTATTTTTGAAGTGTACTCACACAACCTAACATATATATGTGATCGAGTCATTGTTAAAATTGGACCACACATCTTGAGTATTTGGACGTGGGAGGAAAACTTCAGCTTACTATAAGGCTTTGTCCACATGAACATGTTCATCTTCCTTGGTACTTTAGGCGTGCATGTGAAAGGGATATATCTAAAACCTTTAATTTGTTAATTGTCGATAAAGCAACACTCACCACTTTCGAATGTGCAACATCCATATGGTCCCCAATTGAAATTTCCTAATTTTGTATTTCATGTATATAATCATATGTTGCTCACAAGACGTGTCATATCTAATGTGATTTTAGCAGCTAGCTGGAGATTTTAAGATTATTAGCCCTCCTAAACTAATTGTTATTGTGACGACGATTGTTTAACCTTATGCATGCGTGATGAGAAAAATGATGACATATCGACTAAGTTGATGGTGAGAGTGCCACGTGGCAGGGTATGTACCACTGCTTTATCTTTCCTTGTGGCATGGTCGGTGGAATTCCGGCGCCCTCCTTTTCCTTTCAACTTGCTCTCTACTTCTTCTTCTTGAACAAGTTTATTCTCATCTTCTCCCCATACTTGCAGAATCATTTAATCTTCAAAAGTACAGGCGGCTGCTTGGTTGGTTTTAGTAGTTCTCTACCAAACTCACAAAGTCAATTTAGCTGAGAAATTCAAAACCATATATACCTTTCTGTGTAGTGCTGTATATCATCAAGCACCAAAATCTATCTGCAAAACAAGAAGCAGAAAATGTTCACTTTAATGTAAGTTGGGTCAATTTCAAGTAAGTAGTTCAAAATCATCACCATATGCTGGTTGGGTAACCCTAGAGTACTTCATAATTATTAAATAATTAGCATCATATACCTAGCTTTATATTTGTTGCTTTACTTTGATTCGATTAACATATGTATGCGAGAAAAGTGAACTTCGGATTCCTAGAATAAATATTTCAATAGCTTGTGAATTTTGAGATTCTTTTGAATTTTGTTCATGAAACAATTCATGAAAGCTGTATATATATTAGGTTTTTTATTTTGTGGATCATCATACAGACATGTCATAGATATTAGCTTAGCAGCAAACACTTTTTTTTGTTGATTTATTTTCTTTATAATTCATTTCTTTCATGATTGTTGGTGTAGCAGATCATGATAAAAAAAAGAAAGCACATGAAGAAGAGAAGCATATCATGATTAATTCGTGAAGTTTGTCATCGCAAATAGAATAGAAATCTGGGTGTTGAGCTGAAATGATGAACCAATGACGAGAGGGTTCATAACAGCATAAGATGATTAAGAGTCCCATTACTGAAGCAGATTTGCAAGAAGCAGGAGCTGGCAGTTCAAGTCGTGATGACGAAGCCAATAAAGTTTCATCAAACCCTAATTTATCTCGTCCATCAACTCCATGGCTAAGGTTGAAGGACCCAAGGATTGTGCGTGTGTCCCGAGCTTTTGGAGGGAAGGACAGGCATAGCAAGGTTTGCACCATAAGAGGACTTCGAGATCGGCGGGTGAGGCTATCGGTACCTACTGCAATCCAATTGTATGATCTTCAAGAAAGGCTTGGTCTTAACCAGCCTAGCAAGGTTGTCGATTGGTTGCTTGATGCCGCAAAGCATGAAATCGATGAACTTCCTCCGCTGCCAATGCCATCACTTGGGAGTTTTGGTCTAAATCATCCATCATTAGGGCTCACTTCATCTCATGGTGACCAAACCAATGCTCATGCTCAGTTATCTCATAATCATAGTGGAGAAGGCCCTAGCAGTGGAATAGATAGATCAAATTTTTGGCCTACTGATTCGGATGCTCTTTGGCGAGCAAAGTCGAAAGAAATTGTAAGAGCCACAAGAAATGAGGAGGAGGGAAATCAGAAAGATAATCTTGGAATATCAGATGATCAAGAACAAGCAGGCAATAATGTTGATGGTAATTCATCAAACACGTTCTTGAGAAGTAATACCAACCCTCCATTCTTTCCAGGTCTTCTGAATAGTTCTACGAATATGCCTTATGCTTATCATAATTGGGATCATTCTCATCAGACTTCAAATTTTCCACTATCTCAATTAGGAAGCCATGGATTCCAATCCCAAACTACAGATCTCCACAATTTCCTTAATGTACTCTCGTTGCCATCCACATTGTCTTTATCAACGACACAATCTTATTTTTCTTCGCATAACACAGCGGCTACAGGAGAGCTGGATCCAAGACAATTCAACCACTTGCAAATGCTAAACTCTAGTGGTAGTACTAGTACTTCACAAAACCTATTGCCCAATTTTCTTTCTACACCAGCTCTATACCCTAGTAGCCAAACTCTGAGAGCACCCCATTTGAGTATGGTGACTAAGCTTGTGCATTCTTCAGACAACAATGGCAGTGGTCATCACCCAAATAAAAATCAGGAGCCTCCGTCTCGATGATGCGTAGCTGATGCTTTTAATTCAAAGACTCATGAAAGCCTAAGCTTGCTTTATGGCTCAGATTGGTCGTCTTTTGTAAATGGGAGCTAGGTTTAGTGCAGACAAAGGTACAAACACACATCGTACTTTACCGGGTTTAGTCGGTTTACTTAATGTCCATTTCAGATTAAAGATACCACATATGATTTGATTTCCTACTTAATTTTGGTTTATATTATGCGACATTTGCATTTAAATTAAAGTAAAAAGAAAGAGTTTTCGAGCATAAATTTGATTGAAGCATTGTTAATGGTGTGAAGCTACATCGTACATTCATTATTCATTTTTAATTGAATCTTGTTAGTTAGATTTCGGTGTGTATGCTACGTTGTTAGTTAGAGACAAATACGTTTTTTATAACTAATTTATATGCCAATGGGAATGTGCGCCATGGCATTCTCTCCTTGGAAATGGTCTTATACAACTTCATGAGATTGTTCTCTGTAACTATCATTAATTTTTCTCTCTAACTAGCTAGCAACTGCAAACAAAGATTATTTACCAAAAAAAAAAAAATAACTGCAAACAAAGATTTAAAACCCGAGAGAGAGAGAGAGAGATTGTAGGAGGTGTGACCTGAAATGTGTCTAAGCTTGCTTTCTTTTTAATTTCTGCTAGACATCAGGCAGGACTGCAAACATGAAAGGATGGAGTGAATGTAATAGTGTACGTTATTACCAGTTGAATAGGCTTCTGAAGAGAAGGAGGTAAAGTAAGTACGAAGATAGCAGCCTGCAGGCTTTAATTAATTAACGACCTAGTGTGAGGCGCATTATGAGAGGGATAGTTGAGAGCATAGCTAGTGTCAACATCACATACACAAGATCCAACAACATAATTATATATATGTATGCTAGTTATATAGCTAAGGGTTATGAGTGTTTTGTGTTGATTATTACCTATATGTTGGAGTACTAGTGCAGATAATTTGAATCTGGTATTAAAAGAATATCAATTTTAATTTTAGTTACTTATACATATTGTTATTATCGCATACTGTCTTTGTTTTTTGTTGTAAGCGACTGAAGTGGTGTGCTTGAATATAACCAGTTTATATTTAACCCCATCTTGGTAGTTTCTAGTCCACCGTCAAGAAACAAGTAAAGTCCTTAACATGCAAGGCATTAATAAGAACCAAACTTGGCACAATCCTTTATAAAAGAAGTTTTATTACTTGTGGTGCAAGAACTCAATATACATACAATCTGTTCTAAAAACCTTTCTGTTGGCAGAAGCCAACGTACGTTTGATAATCAACAAACCAAAAGATTCACTAAGCCTCTTCAAAGGTCAAATTGTGAAGCCTATATATACCAACTGAGAAGGCATTTCCCTTTCTACAATACACTCGTGTATGAGATGCACTAGTGTTTGAACGGCTAGATTGAGATTGTCAAAATCCAAAGAAAGTAAAGAAAGAAAAAGGGTATGCATAAACCATTCCATTTCTACAATAACTTGTGTATGAGATGCAGTGTCTGAACGGTTAGATTAAAATTCTCAAAATCGAACTATTCAATGCACTAGAATATAGGATCCACGGGTGCATTGTAGAATTTTCACCATAACACGATATACATGTTTGTGTATGAATTGGTTAGTTAAGATAAAGGCCTTCATCACGAGTGGATGAGCAGTACTGCAAGTAGTTAGAACTGCAAAAGCTTTATGTGTTGCCTCCCTGATTAATTTGTTTTACATCGATATCATAGTTCAGTACTTTACAGGAGGTGCAGGACAGTGGTAGCACTGCTCCATGCAGATGTCGCATGATAACCAAGAAAAGAGGATTTACCAAACAAAACAAATAAAATTACAAAACCTAGAGAAGTGAAGTCGATCTGGTCATTTCTGGCAAAGCAGTAGTAAAAGAAAAATAACTCGTACTTCCCGTTCTTTCTGTTCTTTCTATAGTTCCCGTGAATCCAAAACCATTCATACTTTTTGATCTTGTTTCGTCAATCTCGCGTCACTGGTCGTCAAGTTTTGATTTGTTTTTTTTCTTTTATCATAGTTCACATCTTTCTACCCTAGTAGTGTTGGTGAGAATTTGAAGGCAAAATTGCAGTTTTTCCTCGGTACAACATGCATTGAGTGTCATTCCACAATTGACCGTCTTAGAACAAATTCAACCTTTTAATCCAACAATTTAAAAAACGTTGGCACTTAGTGCTTGTAGGTACCGAAAAAAATTCAACAAAATTGGCTTTATTAACAATTTTTCAAACGACTTAAAATTGGTGGCTAATGATTCCGGAATTTGATCCAACTAGCTTACAAAAACGTCAGCACTTAGTGCGTGTGGCTTTATCAACAATCAGAGCACAAATTAGTCGATGATCAAATGAGTTATGAATTTATTAAAATGATTTCCGCACTCATCTTTCTTTATCCTATATTTTTGATTGACAGGTTGAATAAATAACAAAAACGATGAGAAAGAACGCAGGAGGATAAAATGAGAGCGAAAATTAGTACTCAATTTATTTAATGGCAGCTTTTTATGAGTAAAAACAAGTAATTAGAAAACTCATCAACAAGAACGAAACTCATAAAAAAACGACAAGTCGTACAAAAGCCTCTCTCTCCCTCTCTCTCTCCCGTTCGATTCCCTTCTTCTTGTTCGCAAGTATTGACAAACTTGAAAGCTCCCAAACTCCCATTCAAGATTCAACGTCCCTCTCGATCCAGAGGTTTTTCTAGGGTTTAGCCCAATCCCAAACTTCAACCTCTCTCTTTTTTTTTCTTTTGCTCGTTCGCAAATCGGATCGAATGGTGGTACGAGAGCCGCCGTATCTCTGAGCTCAGCCTCTGCTCGCCGGTGATTCTATTGGATCGTAAAAGCGTGGATTTCACCGGTAAGCCTCCGCCTCAAAGTTTCGCTCTTTCTTTCGCTTCCGCCTATTTTTCAATTCCGTTGGTTTGATTTCAATTCCTAGTTAGAAGTTTCAGGGTTTGCTTTTCTGCTCGAGAAAGCTCCAGAAAATTAAGCTTTGATCCATTTGGTTTCTTTATCTATTTCCAATTTTTTAAATAATTTGCAACGGCTGGTAGTTCCATTGATTGAAAGCTCCCTTTTGCTGAGAAAAGATTTCCTAAACGAAACGAAAAAAAAGGTCAAATCTTTGTATCAGGACCAGCTCAGTGAAGTTCTTTTTCCATTTTTCGTATTTGTATTCGGGTTTTCTTGTCTGTGTAGGGATAAGTTTTTTCCTATTTTGAATCTTATGTTGTTTTTACTTGCATTTTCGTAGGGAAAGACGGAGGCATCGATGATTTATTGCGGGTAGATAATGTGGGTTTAAGAGGACTTTCACCAAGAATGTTGGTTTTGAATGTACTGCTTTGGGTGGCCTGATATGAGGGGTTGAATATGACCAATGGGGTTGGGGAGAGTGGAAGAGAGCATGAACAACACAATAGAATGCAGAGAATATCGAGCGGTGATGAATTTGCAAAATCAATTGCGAAGATTGCTGTAGTGCAAGTATGTGAGATAGTGGGGTTTCAGACATTCCAGTTGTCTGCTCTCGAAACGCTCTCTGACGTTGCTGTTCAGTACATTCATAACATCGGGAAGACTGCGCATTTATATGCTAATTTAGCTGGAAGAGTGGAATGTAATGTTTTTGATATCATTCAAGGGTTGGAAGATTTGGGCGTGGTGCAGGGATTTATAGGTGCTTCAGACGTTGATCATTGTCTTGCAAATTCGGGGGCGGTTAGGGAAATTGCTCAGTATGTTGCTGAAACCGAGCATATTCCATTTGCCTACTCTATTCCTCAATTCCCAGTTGTTAAGGACCGAAAGCTGACTCCTAGTTTTTGGCAAAGAGGGGTAGAGACGCCTGGAGAGCATATACCTAGTTGGTTGCCTGCTTTTCCTGAATCCCATACATATGCTCAGTCACCAATATCCAATGAGAGAGCTATAGAACCTCACACTGATATGATTGAGCAAGAAAAACAACAGAGAAATGTGGAGCGGTCTCTGTACAATTTGCAGCGGAGGCTTTTATACAATGGGTTGGAGGGACCTTCTGTTGGCCCTGAAGATGCTGATAAGGCAAAACAAGCAAGAGAAAGTAACCCTTTTCTTGCTACACCTCTGCAATATGGGGAGACAGAAATATCTCATGTTGCTCTTCCAGCTAAACTTTCAAGTGAAGCCACAGCACGAATTGTTGTTGCTGAGAACCATGTCCTGAATCAGTCTTCACTGCTGGAGACCTTTGCTCCAGCTATTGAAGCAGTGAAGAGTGGATCGTGTGAATCAGAGGAGGGGGGGAAAGAGATTCTTTTGAGCAGGAGACCAATTGTGCAATTTAAGGTTGGAACCGCGAAGAAGTCCTTTGATACTAGGTTTCATTTGAGCCCACAAAACAAGGGTTTTCAGAAAACTGATTCCTGGTTTGAAAGAGAAAATGAGAAGGATGTAAAGAAAAGGAGGGCTGAGAAGATTCTGAAGGATTCCATGGAAAACCAAGAGGAGCTTGCGGAGTTGTAAATTAGGTTGTTTTTCGACTAGAATTCGTACACTTGTTTTAGGATACTAGCAGTGGAAGCGGGCTCGCATGGTGTTGTCTGCATCTGGACATTGTAGAATGGATATTACACAATTCTGGAGGGAATTTTCCCACTTTAACAAGTTTAAAGGTATGTTAGTGTCAGTTGCAGTGATACACCCAGTTAATGATTATTTCTAATTCAAATTCTTTTGTTTTCGTTATTTAGTGGTTCTACTCTGAATGCGCGCACAAGTATTATTCCTCATCTGTTGTGTACTTTGTTGCTATATCAATATGTAAACGGAAGAGAGTCAAATTTATGTTTAGTTTCATAATTATAGACTAATAAAAGGTTAATGTGTTTTCCAGTTCAATAAATTGTGCATAACTGGAACAAGAAATTGGAAGGGAAATATGCATACACCATAATTGTATTATAGATCTATGTCCTCTATCAAAGGTTTACATGTTAGAGAATAGCTGAAATTTTACCAGTAGTTATTTGTGGCTTTACAGAAGATAAAACTAAAGGATTATTGTGAAATGTATATAAAATACTCCCCCCTCTCCTGTTCTTTCCAACCAAAGCTGGAAAAGAAAAACAAAAGAAGAAAAGGACATCAAGGAAACAATTAAGACTTAGAACAATTCTTTTAGAAGAAAAAAATCAATGTTATCAACTGCTCCTTGGCAAGCCTGCAATACCTACCAGACTAATTATGCAAACCAGCTACGTCACCACCGCTCAAAACTTCAGAAATGATGCTTCACAAACTACCTTCCTCGTCATCCAAGCGGCCAGTTTGAGTTTTTGAAATCAATGTTAGCACAGCCCCTTCCCAGAAAACAGTTGCCTGCAATGCCCACCAGACCAACCATGCAGGCTAATTGAATCACCATTCACAATTTCATTTATCAAATCTTTAAAGATCAATCGCTCAACATCCAACACTACACCTGGAATTTCACTGTCACACTCTGTCCAATTCTTTGCTTGATCCGTGAAATCTTCCAACAAGATGTTTCTCAAACTTTCATCCTCGTCATCCAGGCTGCCATTCAAGTTCTTTCTTTGTAGCTGATCAACCTCTGAACACAATTCTTTCAGAAGCTGCTGGCTTCTTGGTTCCCAATCTGCCAGCTTGTGTGGTGGGAACCACTGCTTCAAAGAATCTTCCACCACTAGTTTTTGAACAAGGAATTCATTAATGACCTCAAATACTAGTTTTCTTTGAAGTTTCTCATCAGGTTTGGGCTGGAGATCAGAAGGCATTGTATTTGTTCTGATATCTTCCAGTGCAAGGAACAAATTAGGGTTGATCAGGTGGTCTGATGTGTGGAGCTCACTGGTTGTCCAGGGAGATTCGAGATATTCCAGAATACCTGATGCCAGCAATATTTCTGAAATGTACATGTGGTCTGGATTTGTACTGTCACAGAGGGGACCAGTGATGGGGTCCTCGTGTGTCCTGCTCATGCATCGATGATTCTGAATCAGGTTCTCTAATCTTTTATGATCAATTTCTGCCCCAGGACTGGGCATTGTGTTGTTGGATAACAGAGATTGGTTCATTGGGTCATACCCTACTATATCCAAAATTTGTGCTTCATCGTCTGCAGCAAGAAATTTGAGGAAATTTAGTATAAACGAGTCTTGCATTCTATACCACATATAAGGGATCAGTTGCACAAGAACTATACCTTTGAAGGCATTTGATATCTTCTTCACTGGAGATGGTGAGTCATCCCGATAGAATGTAGAATCAAGAACAGAGACAGGGCTTGGTTGTTCAGAGGAAGCTTTCCTAGTTTCTGCCGTTGACCTATCATCAATCAACCCCACTGCTGGGTGCTGTGGGAAAGAAAACAGAACATCTGTCAACCCAGATAAGAAATAACTTACAGGAATGAATGAGAAGTGGGACACCCTTACCTTTATTTTTTGGTTATGCTGCTGGAAATGCGTGCCTGTGATCCTATCTGATTCGTGAACGCTTGTGGCTGTGTCTGTGTGCGAGGTCAAGCTGATGGTGCTTCCAGATTGCTGTGAAGTGGAATCATCGTGATGACTCATCCCTCTCATCTTGGTGCTAGTCTCCCTCAGTTGCGCATTACTTTGATGCAAACTGGGTGTCTTATGCCCAAGTTTTCTACCTGGGGTGGTTGCTTCTAATGACTGCCTAGTGTGTTGTCTTCTGGTCATGCTTGAATTCAATGATGGCGTGCTTGGAGGAGATTGCTTTTCCAATCCAAGTCTTCTCTGTTGCATTTTCGGGCTAGTGATTTTTGAACTCCTACTTGAGCTGATGACTTGTTCTTCACTCATAGTTTGCGATGCCTTTGGTTTTTGTGCAGATTTCAAAGTTCTTGCGTTAGAATTATCATCAATGGAATGAAGGTGTCGATTGAAAGGATCTCTGACATGACTGTTCCTTGGTGTCGGATCTTTGGCTGTATTATTGTCGACCAATCCCTTTCTGTTATCACCAGGGTCACTAGTCCGAAGCTTCCGAAGACCTAACGTGTCATTCATGGAATCCACCATGGTAGCAGAGCTGTGGATTTTATCAATGAGTTTAGCTGGTTTCATTATGACGATGGGTGATTTATAGCTCTTTGGAGATTGGGAACCCTTGGCCGTGGCAGGAACTGATATGTTACTTTGTAGATTTCTCTGGCTTGCTTTTACTGTGCTGTCAGAGGAAATGCTTTCGTTGCTTATTGGAGATGCAAAATTTAAGGCGTGATCCTTTCTTGTATCTGTCATTCCTTTCGTCTTCTGCATCGCTTCAAGTATTTGTTTAAGAGCTCTGAGATCCTTTCCTGATTTTTTAAACTCAAGATCTGCTAGCCTTTTCTCCATTTCACCATATACTGAAGATGATGAGTTTGGAGCTTTTGTCGGTTCTTCTTGATGCTTGAAAGCTGATCGTTGAGAACCTTTGCTTCTGTGCGGCTGCCTCCAAGGAGCTGTTTCTATTGGAAACTTGGAATTCGAGGTGGGCTTCATGACTGAATCAGTACTTCTCCTCTGGGGTGAGCTGAAGTCTTTCTTGGCATTCGCAAGGAGTATTCCGGAAAAAATATCTTGCTTGTTTTCAGTGGTTGCTCTTGATGATCTTGAGAAGGGATCAGATCTATCAGATGTGCCAGTATTAATCAGCCTTAATGGACTATCAGTGGTTGACACGGAATCTGATAGATCCAGTCCCATCAACTTTGCAACTACATTAGACGGTCTTTTAGCGCTTCCAGGTTCATGCTGCAGGTCAAGCATTTTGTTGCTGTTCCCATATTCTCTCTGCAGATCCTTGATGAAGTAATTTGCTTTTGTTTCTGGGCTACAACCCCTCCTTATGGAACGTTCTTTGCTGTCCAAAGAAAGCCTTGGGACTTCTTTGAGTTTTACGGTGGATTTTGATGCATCGCGTGACTCTCTTCCATCATAAGAGAACCTCCGAGCATCTTTTGGTACAAAACGTGTACCACCATCCTTCTCTTCATTTGAACTCCAAGGTGCGACCCGAAGCTTTCCAGGAACTTGAAATGACTCGTTACCACCAGAAAACCTGGTCTTGGTGGATTTTATTGGTGAAGGCCTCGGGGAGTCTATGTACTTCAATGCATGACCGGCTCCATCTTTAGATGCAGGTTTAACTGAAATGCCACGGGCTTCTCTGTACATTGAGTCTTTGACAAGATCTTGCAGATCAACAGATCTCCGGCGTATGTGCATCAAAACATTTGGTTGGTTCAGAGATAGGTCCCGAGCGTGTTTGTCGTTGGAAATGGTTTGGCCGGACAAAGATGGTTCTTGCTCAGCTGCCTTTTGATGTTCAAGAGACGAAAAGCTAGATGAACACGAAGAAGAAGCAACAGTGGTTTTCGATGATTCTGTGGAGTTTCGTTGTTTCTCTTTCACCGCCTTTTTTCGAATTTTTTCCTGCAAATTCCAAAATGCATGTAATGAATGTTTCTCTTTAATCTAATCAAAAGATTGAGAGTCAGGCTTCTAATTAAACTTTAAGTCCGCTAATGTGATTAAGTGCTGAATTCTTACGGTAGCCTTCTGCACTGTTCTTGGTTCTACTGCGTGGTTGCAATTCTCACCTGAAAAAAAAGAAAGTAAAAACATATAAATAATGATACATGTATTATGAAACTATAAATGCATATTAATAAAAATAAAAATAAACATGTTATTAACAATTAGCTCAACGTTTAAGTAATAATCTTAATTTATAAAATTTAGTTTTCCGAGCATTATTCTTCTGTAAAATATTTATTGCTTAAATTTGATCAAATTCAAAGTCTTTACATTCATGAGCTGATGTAAATCATTCGCAAAAGGAAATAGCAAATCAATAAGAATCCAACTTCTCCTCATTTACAAAACCAATGGATTTTTTATTTTTTACTAAAAGCACTTTTTCTAGAACTGCTTTGAGCTTAACTGCACTTCCAAGCAAATGGTAGAAATAAGAAATACCTGGAGAGAGTCTCTTGTGGTTCTGGCCATTGATACGCCTGCCGGCGAGGAAATGGTGGCGATCAAAGAGCTGAAAAATTCCACTCATGCACCCAATTTGCTTATGGAGATCCCGGTTCTCATCCTTTAGAGAATGCAGAATCTTTGCAGACATCTTCACTTCCACCTCCTTCCCCTATTGCTTCACAAACCCACCAGCTCACACCTTTGAAACTTCCATTTCTGCAAATTCCGGGCAGCAAAACGCTTATAAATAATTGGTTTCAAGAATTTTACACGACCCCAAAAAACATGCAGTTTCAAAAACGATACTGATTTTCTGTCTAGCCAAAAACAACAGATTTTTGTCTGAGTTTTGCTCGAGTCACCATTCTTCTAGCTAGTTACATAAACTGCATTGAGTTTTTTTCTCACTATATATTAATAATCTTCTTTTTCTTGGATTTTCTCTAAAATTTTTGTATAGAACAAAAAGGAGAGAATAAGAGAGCAAGAATATGTAAGAAAAAAACATGTTAATTGATCAGAAAAAAGTCCCTTACCTATGGAATATATAAAAATAAATGAAATTTTTGGGTTTCACAGAACAAGGGAGACAATATTCGACTGCAAAACCAAAAGGAACAAAAGAGACATATGGGAAGGGAGGGACCCAACACTCAACAATCACCCACAGCAGCCCCACCTTCCAAGGAGTTGTAAGGAGTAAGGAGGATGACTACTATCTATCAAAGAATACTAGTGCGCTGGCCAGAGCAGACGGATTAAGTTCTGCAGACCCAAGAAGAAATGTCTTTTTATTTTTTCTTATCTTTTGGGTTTTCTCACACAGCACAAAAGAATAACTTGTCCTTTGGCTCTCTCTAGGGAAGGCAGGCATACACACACACACACACACACAAGAGGGTTTGTGGTTGTATTTATTATATATGCTGTGCTCGATATCAGTTTGGCAAAGAATGAGAATTGGTGATTACCTTTTATATTATATCATGAGAGAGAAGTTTTTTGTGTTATTAAATTAATATTATAGTTTAATCTAAATTATCGGGAAAAGAATTCAAATTTAAGTACATAAGAGCATACTGTTTTAGCTAATTTAACTACTCTTTATCAAAGAGCGAAATTCGAACTTAAGTGCATACAATGAAAACACGATACTTTTGCTAATGTGATCACACCTAAATTTGTAGAAAGAGGCAGGATTTTAGAAACAAATTAAAATGAGAATTGCAGCTAGGATTATTTAAAGAAAATGACACAGTTTTCAGAACTTATAATTTAAAAAACATAAGAATTGGGATCTCAACCCTCTTAATTAAGTAATTCTTCAATGTTAGTTTTTCTCTATTAAAAGCAATTAGAAATCATAAGTTAAGAAACAAGTGCCATATTGGGTAAGAATTAGTGCTTGTACAAGTGAGTCATTTACATTTAAAACCCCTAATAAAGAGAATTACGGTAATAAGATATGAGGAAGGAGAGGGTGGGAAAGAGGTTGGAGAGATCGATGTGAATCGGTGGGTCAGATCACAGATGTGGTTTGTTCAATTTTTCTCCCCACTTCCATGTGTGTGGGTCTGGAAGGGCAGGACCTGTATCTACATAAGCATGTGGATTTGTCAGATGGTGGAAGAAATAAGAAAGTGGATTAATGTACTGGAAAGCAGCTTGCCAAGCCTAATAAAACCACATTTCCAGCCATTTCCCTAGCCAATTTACCAAGCTATCCTCCTCTGGATAATCTGAAACCCCTTGATGTTTCAATGACAACTTGACATAGGAAACTACAAATTAAGTGAAGGATAAGTTGGTGTTTGACCTCTTGAACTATTATTTTAATTGATATTGATCTTTAAATTATTTTTTTGGTAAATTAATTCTAAGAACTATTTGACATTAGCCAATTAATTCCTCTGACCATCAGATTTTGGTGAAATATCAATCACTGTGCCGTCAAATACTGACACAACTTTACCCTCAAGAGCGAATCACATACAGGTCACAAGTCAATATTTAGCGACAAAGTGGATGAAATTTATTGAATTTGACGATGAGAGATTAATTGACTAATTTCAAATATAACAAAAAAAAATAGTCTAGATAGTTAATTTCAACTTGAGTAATAGTTCATGAAATCAAACGGCAATTTACTCAAATATTGAATACCATGTCACTTAATTTTTAGCTTCAATCAATAATCATTAAAGAAAATTAGATAATTATTGAATGAGATCTAAAAATTCTATGTAGCGAAGTATTAAATACTCCAGAATATTGTAATGCATCGTCACAAATTAAGTTAGAATTGTCATAAACAACTATATAATTCTTTTGATTATTACCACAAGGCCATTTTTACCATCATTCATGTCTTACAACATAGTTAGAATACAATTATTTGCACCACTTTGTTTGGCTGCTGAACAATTAGCGGGAACTCCTGCTAAATAGCCATATTGACTGCTAAGCGGTTTGACAAATATTCACTTCTTTTTTTCTTCTTTTAAAAATTATGCAATATTGAAAATATCATGAGCAGCCACATCAAGCTCCTGCTAATTGTTCCGCAGCCAATCAAGGTTCTTATTTGCATAATGATCATAAAATTCGAAGTTTCAAGTTCCTGTTTTAGTCAATTTATAACTTTATGCTGAAACCTGTTAGCAAGATCAGTACTGCAACTTTAAAGCATAAATCGATCAATAAGTTTTTGGGCGTTTTAACTTTAAGCTGTAGTCTCCAAAAGAGTGGTCCAATATATACGTTGTTTTTTTTAAAGGACCAATTGGTGGCCAAGTCACGACAGTTTACTTTTTCGGAAGTTGAAAACACTCACAGAGACATTTCAACTTCTAATCCATATGCGTTGATAAAAGTCATATATTTTTTTTAAGCAGACATGCATACATCCTCAAGCCGCTGGACCACTAGTTTCCCAGGATTGTGCGGAAAAGACGCACGTTTCAGTGCTTATACTGCTTTGAGTCATCGAGTCGAGTCCCTTGTAAAAATGCATATTTTCTGTTTGAAGTTTACATTGGCACATGCATGGTACTTGCTGATGTATATGTTACAGGAGAAAGAAGAAGGTCCATGGACATATTATTGATGGAAATGGAAAAGAAATATAACTCTAGTTTTTTCGAAAATGACATGATCTTTGGCGCTACTATACCCAAACCTACCTTACATTATAGACTTATTTTTAGCTACACTACGAGGAACTCGATTTTAATCTCATTTTACTCCTTGTAACTCAAAGTTGTCATTTTACTCCCTAAAACTCAAAATTTTCTCCACTTTGCCACTTAGACCTCGATTTTGATCTCATTTTGCCCCTGAAACTTGAAAGTCGTTTTTATAAAACTCAAAATTCGCTTCACATTGCCTTAGATCTGTTAATTTCTTATATTTGTTTGATTTGGATGGGACAGGCTAATCAATTTCTTTTTTATTGTTTTCATATCTTCAATTTCTTTTAAACTTAATAATCTCTGATTGTTGAATATGTTAACGCATAATGGAGATTTATAATCAAATTTATTACACACATGACATAGTCTTATTGGATGTTGGATCTCATATATATATATATATATATATATATATATCAGGAGGCAACCTGCTATAAGTCAAAGTGGAACAGTTTCAGGGAGTGAAGTGGTGACTTTTGAGTTACAAGGGGCAAAGTGAGCTCAAAATAGAGGTTGTAGCTAGAAATAAACCAACACTATACTATTAGTAAGAATGGTAGCTTTCAAAGTAAAACTACACTTTGGCCTTTAGACTCGCTTCAGCGACCAATATATATAGAGGTGTGCTATCCACATACATTTTTTTACTTCTTACATATCCCTTGTTAATTTTTGTCTGTTGATCTTCTTTAATTCATCTAATCCGACGGCCGAAAAGCGAAAAGGTGTGAAAGAAGAAAAAAAGAGTGTGTGGATATCACACCCATATATATAGAGTCCGTCTACCATACCTTAATAAAAAAAAAAAAGATATCGGTACAATTTAATTTAAACGACAAACTGTAATGCAATAACAATATTCAACTAAAATATAAAATATACGCAATATATATATATATATTGGATAAACTTAAAAACATGTTCATCTCCTCAGCCTTATGTCATCTATTATGTACTGGATCAAACCTTATCTCAGGATTGTGCTCTCTCCGCGCATGAACATGATTATTTTCACAACTGCGATAAAACGTCATTTACTTTTCTTAATGCATTTTTATGTGAATCTAATGGTTTAATTTCAAAATTTCCCTTATCGGGTTCTTGATAAATTTATTCAAGACAACATATAAACAACGAAATTAATGGGGGCTGTATGTGTCATAAAAAAATGGGGGCAATATGTTATGTAATCTTCTGGCGTTGAAGGTGCTTGTATTCATCCAAATGAAGATCGTATCTACCTTCTGCACGTTTTGGAAACCCTAGCTAGATGCCTAGATACGTGTAGGTCTGAAAGTACTACATAGAACATATTTAGGGCCGTCTCTAAGATTTTGGGAGCCATGTGAAAAATTTATAAAAGTGCCCATTCTTAAGATAGTTTTTTTTCAGAAAAAGTAAGACAATGTACTGATGCTAGAAAGCAATATTTTAAATCAAAACAAACTTAAGAGTCACTGATTGTAAATTTATAAATGTCATTAAATAATAAGTAAAAAAAGCTACAAACATAACCTTCACTTATTAATTAAAATCACTTCAATCTTAAACAAGTAAACAAGAAAAAAAAAGCTTCAAAAACTCTAACTTCAAAGTTTCACTTCAACATATAGCATTATTATATCATAGAATTGAAAAAAAAAACTCATTTTTAGGGTGTTGTTATTAGCACTTCAAATACCTAATTGTACACTCCAAATTTTTATATTTAGCAAGAAAAAAATTTACACTTACAAGGAGTTACAATGAAATTTTAAAGTGCTAATAAAAACAATTCTTACATATAAATTTTAGATGGAAATTTTTTTGAGGCCCTGTGTTATCACATCTTTCACTTCTCCTCAACGCCCCCTCTAAACATATTATACACAGTTTTGTAAATATGTGTTGGACCACCCCTCTTTTGCTAATATGTACAAACTTAAGCTACTGCAGTCTGCAGCCATATACTTTGCTGTACGTGTTGGCATTGTGAAGAAAAATAACAAATAAGGTTGTAAAAAAAACAAACAAGTAGAAATGAAAAAAAAGGAACATTCTTGTGGATTCACTTATTCGGACATGCTTTTCCAATCAGCCATAAATCATAGAAATCTTTGTACACCTTTCTCTATCTGTCAGCTGATGCATTAACATGATGGCATTATAATTTTCTACATATGGACCTAATAAATATGTTGAACAAAATTTACAAGTACGAATCAAACGTTTACTCTCGTTGGATTATTGTGTGCAATTAGGCACATCTTTTAGAAAAGAGACAAATAATTGCTATTCATGCATTAAAGTGTAAACCCTAGCAATGTACAAAGTAGTGTTCTCGGTCGAGGCGCAGTATACTGGATATTATGCCGACGTATTTCGATTAGAAACTCCCTCATCTAAATTTTCCTTTTCCATTTTTCTTAATGCTTTATTATTTTTTGCAAAACGATAGCGCTAATAGGTTAAATAATGTTAGAGGATGAGGCAAATCGGTGGAAATCGAACCTATGCATGTTTATGCGTTTATTTCTGATTAGGTGCATGCACACAGCGCACGTTTTTGGTTAATTAAAATCGTGGTCTATATAGTAAAAGTGAGGACGCATTTAATAACCATTTTGTTTTATGTTTTCAATTTTTAATTTTTCTTTTTAGATATGAGAAGGGCATATATATGGGGAAAATGATGATGAAGAAGCGTGATGGAGAGAAGGAAAGAAAAAAGGAAGAAAAGATGA